ATTCCAGGCCGCATGGGATGCGTGCATCGGAAAGCCCCAGCGAGCCACAGCGCTCAGATGGGCATCCATCGCGCACCGGTCGCTCACTTTATAGCACGTACCTCTTCAGTCATAGCTGGAGTGCGCAGCACGGACTCGTTCCCGCGCGCACTGTTTCGGAGGAATGCAAGTGGGTGGGCGTGGCAGAGGCACTTGAAATGTGGCCGGGGAAACGCTTCTTCCGTGGTCAGAGCAGCAGGCCTGAGGACACTGCGCGCAGCCAAGCGGTGGGCGATTCAGGGCCGCTGCCGATCCCCACTGAGCACAGACCCTAGTGCGTCGCTGGGATTCTCCGCCAGTATCGGGAGCGATGGCGGCCAGCATAGGGGGCCTGGACGCCCCTCCGCTCTGCCGCCAGGCATAATGCCTCACAAAGGGGTGCCAGGAAGCGCAGCCGGGGGCTTTCTTTCCCCTCGTCTCCTCCTGGAGGGCACCCCGTCAGGACCCTTGCCTGGCTGCTCCTGGGCCGGAGGGTCTTGGCCCAATCTGGTGCCAACACGCTCCCTTGTGGCTGTCACGGGCCCAGTCACCCCGTCGGCTCCATGGCTGAGCTGCCCGAGTCCTGGCCCTGTGCCCTCAGCCCCTGCACCACCCCAGCTCTGAACCACGGCAGAGCAGTCCCTGCAGCCCTGTCCCCCATTTTGCAGTGCCGTTCCGCCTTAAGGAAAGCGGATGTAAGGCCAAGAGCTTGCCCTTGAGCCTTCCACCCCGAACCGTCACTTGGTCCACAACCTGCCATCAGAACAGGCCGGCCAGTGCATATTCCCACGCTTTGGAGCATCTCACTGGCTGCCAAGAGTTTTCTGGGCTGGTCTGCAGCACAAAGCCCTCTGCTGCTGCTTCCCCTGGCAGCTGGGCCTTTTCTGCAGGGCTGCCCGGCCTCTGGGACCCTCCGCAGGGCTGCTCCCGGCACCTCCTCCCCATCAGCCAAGAGGCAGCGGTAGCGCCTGAGCCAGAGAGCGCCAGAGAGCGGTCTGGGATTGGGCCCAGGACTCGGGTCCCAGGCGAGCCCCTGCAGAGGAGGCCGCATTTTGCCCTGGAATCTGGCCATCCCAGCCAGCCGGGCTTGCTAATTGATCGCTCTGCATTCTCCGGAGGACGCCGTGATGTAGAAGAGGCGAGCGGGGGCGGCTGCTGGGAGATGGGCTGGGAAGGTCACCTTCCCACTGCTCGCCTTCTCTGGCCAACTCGAGGCCAGCATAAGGCAGCCCGGCCGCGGCCCTCTCCCTGCGGGGAGTGGGGGCAGATCGTGCGCGGGCCGCTCCCCAGCCCCATCGCGGCCTGTCGGGCCGAAAGGCACCCCGGGTGCTCGAGGAGGCAGCGACGAGCCCTCCCGGGAGCTCACGGCGGAGCAGGCGCTTCCTCGGGCGGAGTCCCTCGTCGCAGCGCGCCTCGCCTCGCCTCTGCTGCCGCGGCCCCGGGAGTGTCGCCCAGCCGAAGGAAGGTGCCGCTCGTGCGAGCGGGACGGGATCGCGCCCGCGGCCCCGTCGAGGCACGGGCGCGTAGAGGCCCCCCGGGGCGCTGCCCAGCCGGGCTTCCGCGCGCGGCCGAATCGCGGGGGGCGCAGAGGCTCCTTCCCGGCGGGGCGCCCCGCGGCGGGCGGAGCGACGCGGCTTTCCGCCCCCCCGACACGGCCCTCGCCCCTCCGCGCACTGGGGGAGGAACGCGCGGCCTCGCCGGCCCGCAGGCCAGAGCCTCACGGGGAGAGGCGCTCAGGCGGGCGGCCTAGCAAAGCGGGAGGCGCGGGCGCGGGCGCGGCGAGGCGGCCGGGGCGCAGCCGTGGCCGGGCGGGAGGCGCCGGCTCTTCCCCGCGCACCCCTGGGCTGCTCCCGGCCCGTTTCGCGCGGCCCGTCGCGCCCGCCTTTCCACGGAAGAGGCGCCTCGGCCGAGGCAGCCCGCGCCGCCCGGGCGCTCGCACGCCGTTGCGCTCGGCGGCGCTCCTCGCCCAGGACGACCGGGCCGCGCCGCCCCCTGCTCGCCCCACGCGCCTGAGCTCTCGCCTGGGCGGGGGCCGGGCTCCAGGGCCGTCCGCTGGGGCCCTTTCTGAAACGTGCGTTCGCGCAAGTAAGTGCACCGATCGCTCCGCAGCGCGCCCACCGTCGGCGCTCGCAGCCCTGCGCCCTCGTGCGGCGGGCCGGGCCGGGCGGCTGCGCTTGGGCGGTGGGCGGGCGGCTTGTTCTGCGGGGGGGAGAGGAGCTGCAGCAGCTGCGGCTGCCCACGTCGCACGCCCGGGCGCCCCGAGCGTCCCGCGGGCGCGTGGGGCCGCAGCGCCGGACAGGTCGCGCCCCTGGAGCGGGCGACTCGGTGGGGCTCGCGTCCGCTCTCCGCCGTGCCCTCCCGGCAGAAGCGCTGCTCCGGCGCCTTCCTTGCCGTGTGGAGCTGGGGGAGGGCGGGGCGGGGCGGGGCGGGGCGGGGACCAAGCCGTCTCCCGTGCCCCGGAGCAGCTGCGGCGGCAATTCTGCAGCCTGACGGAGCCTGGCTTCTCTCTGGCAGCTTCTTGTCCACGGCGAGGGGCGAGAACATGCCACATACGTGTTTTGGTGCATCGTTTGGCCAATGAACGCATCGGTCACGCACGTCTTAGCAATGCACGCATTCTCCTCCCATGGAGTAGGCAGGACCAGTGCACGTCTTTTCAGGCGTACATGTTTTCACGTGCACTTAAAGGCTGCACTTGTCCCCTCGGCCTCCTTTTCTCCCCATCTTGGGCGCTAAGCCTCGATGGCTGCAAAGAGGGTCCAGCTACATGGGGGGGGGGGGGGACGGGAGCAATTGCCCCACCACTGGATGCTTTTGAGCCTGGGGGCATAGCTAGGGCTGGGGGCAGACCTGCCCGTGGCTGCTGGGCACAGGCCTGGAGCCCTCCAAAATGCCCTGTCCTTGACCGCGTGGCCCAGCTTGTGTGAACGCCCGTGCCAACAAGAGACAATCATGTGCAGGCTTTGGTGCGGTAAGAGCTTACTGAAATCTGCCAATTTCTTCATGAATAGAAAGCACGTGGTTTTTTTAAATGCATGGAGGAAAAGGCATGTTTGCAAAATGAATGCAGGAGATCGCTTTGCCTGTCACTGCCCTGGCGCTCGTGCAGCTGCGGGGGGGGGGGGGGGAAGATGTGGCCAGTTTCCTTGGCCAGGTGCTGAGTGGCGACTTCGGTAGCATCCAGGTCCTTCCAGACCAACCCTTGGTACTCTCCCAGGAAGGCCAGCGTGATGCAGATTAAGAGACTCAAAGGGCAGCTCAAAGGAGACCATCTGAGAGTTGCTCTGTCCTGAGCTCTGAATGTGCAAGGGCTCCCGTGTGCTAGTCAGTGCTACACCTAGACATGGGAATGCTCGAAGAAACATCGTGAACAATGTGCCTTGTTGTGAAAGCACAGATTGCTGATACTTTAATATAAGAACCTATGAAGATGAAAGGGCATTCCAGCCCACAGAAAGTCTTCTGTCCATAAACAGTATATTTGAAAGAAATGTACATGCTTCAGAAGTCAGTGACATGTCCACAGAAAAGGTTGAGGTTCTTTCAGGCAAGACAGTCAGCATCATGACCATTCTCCAATCTCAACCCAGTACAAAATTCCCCACTATATCACGTTTGTTTTAAGCAGGTGTAACGTACATCTCAGGTTTTCTGAAGGCCGCAGTGAGAAACGGTCTGGAGATGCCACCTCCTCACCTGGAGACGTGGGGAGTGGCAGGGAAGTGCTCCAGTGGACCCACCTTTCACCCCAGTCCTCTCTGTGGCACCGTTATGATGCAGTAGCCAGCTTGTTTATGCCAAATTAACACTGATCCTATTTGCAGATGGTTCGCTGCGAGGAAGGTGGCGCCGGCCCACAGTGGCAGAACCCCAGGCTCGCGAGCCTCCAAGTTTGTTTGTTTGTTTATTTATTTGGGAGACTTCTATGCCGCCCCATTCGCTGAAGCCTCGGGGCGGCTCACAACCATTAATAAACTTCAAAATAGAATAATATAAATTAACAAAATAAATTAAGTCACCCTGGCCAAAGAATAAAATGAATAAATAATATTAACAATTAAAGTAACATTTGAATAAAAAGTTGCTTCCCAGCATGCCCTTCCACCGAGACACATCCAGCTGAACACAGCGGCATTTCAGTCCCCCCCCCCCCCCCCCCCCCCGCTCAATCCAGAGCTTTCCCATTAGCTTCCGCGGAAGGAACGGGTCCTCAGCCTTCTCAGGCCTCAAGCCAGTGGGGGCTCTCCTGGGCTGAAGCTCCTGTGGACTCCTGGGACAGGGACAGAGCAGAGCCGCACGGTGCAGCGCCTGCCTGGCTGGAGAGAACTTTGCGCTTTGCGTGAAGGCCGGAAGCCGAGCAGTGGCTGCAAGGCGCCCTGGAGGAGCCTGGCCTGAGCTGTGGCACAGGCACCGAGAGAGAGCCCTTTCTCTGGGCAATCCCTCCGGCCTTGCTGGCTGTTCGCTTGCAAATAAGCCACAAGGATGAAGAGAACACAAGCAGGATTTGGAAAGTCACATTCTTACTATTTTAAAGTGATATGTATGGTTTTCTATGACTAATTGCAAAAAGAGCAAGGATTTAAAATGGTTTCACGCTCTGAGAAATTGGCCAGTGATGGATCCAGGTGATACCGGACCAAGTCACAACAAGTAGCTTTCCAATCCTTTTGCGAATTCAAAGTGCAATTCAATCTAAATTGCACAGCAGCCTTCCTTGGGTTGCTGTCCTGTGGCTGAATTCCAATAATTGTTTAAACTTGTTTAAAAACAAAAGCAGGACTCATCAAAAGCACCATTAAAACTGCAAACTGCACCAGTGATATTAAAATGCCACCTGTTCAGCAATAAAAAACGACATTTACATTCATATATAAGAAATTAAATGGACATTAATTTTAGGAATTGTTCTGCCTGAATATAGGAAGGTCATTCTAAAATGTGTCCAAGAGGAAAACAGATTCAGCACAGACTTCAAAAGGTACTTGAATCTACAAAGCAAGTTTATTCACACACTGGGTATAATTCTGCCTTGACCAGAAAAAGTAAGCTTGTAAAACAGTCACATTCATTACAAAAGCTGCGGCACAACTGTTGAAGATGCAAACCATGCTTAGCATCCCAAGACAAGAAACATTGCATTTCGGTTTCAGAGAAGTTTGAAAATACGAATACAAATCTGATATCTTGAGGCCAGACTGCTGACATATTTAATCAAAACTCCACGGGGAGGTGCTGGTTGGACATTCCTGAAATGCCCCTTCTCTGGCCACGTGTGTGTGTAGTGTGCACAAATGGGGAAACCAGCTACGTCAAGCAACACGTTCTCCTGTGAGGGAATGGGTGTGTCTGAACATATGCGCCATGAGCCCCGGAAGACCAGCGCCCACATGCACGAGGCCACGTGGAGTTCAGACCTGGGGGCACAAAGGCAGGAGGGTCGGCCAGGTTGCCTAAACGCTAATGACAAACTCGGGGTTAGTGTAGGAGAATCCTGCAAACTCATTCTGGTCCAAGTTCATGATGAAGAGTTTGTCTGTGGGCGTGAGCTCCACGGGCTGCCTCGTGAACTCTTTATCGAAGTTGGAAGTGTCGTGCTTGTCTTTCTGTTGGGCAGAAAGCACAGCATTAAAAGCATGCGATGGGAGGGTGCCGAGCAGAGAAGCCCAGGCGCAGCGAGTGCCAGAACCATGAGCAGCGGGGGGGGGGGGGGCTGAAGCCTCCAAGGGCACTGGGACAGAGTGGGCAAGACCACCAGGTAAGTAACTAGCGTCGTTCTGGCAAATGCTGGAATCCATGGTTTGCAAAAAGGAAAGCTCTCATGGAATAGAAAACAGGCACCTTCTGCATGTCATTGTAACACTTTTCTCTATTTTTACTTTTCTTAGGCTACCGTCAAGAGCACCCAGATATGCATCCAGGGAACCCTTTTATCACTTTCTGTGCAGCTGCCCGTGCTTCAAAACCTGCTTTAAGCCGCCCGGCGCCAATGTGGCCTGAACTGTGACTTGCTGCACACAAACCTTGCATGTTTAATGGGCGAAAGACACGCACTCGTCCCGCTCAGGCGTGCTGGGTGGTGCGGGACTTCGGTCCAAGCGTGTGGGTCGCTTCTCAAGCCACAGGGACACATGCAAAGGGTGCATGTCTCTCTCGCTTGTGCCCATGTGACCGACTGGCAAGAAGGGTGTCAAGCAAGCACCACAGAGCGCCCTGGATGTGGATGGCAAGCGCTGCCTTGGAGATACCGTGAATGCCCGGCTTGGCGTTCGCTCGGGCGGCCTTCCTTTGGGCACGGCCCGGTTTGCACAGCCCCAGCCCCAGCCCCAGCCCCAGCGAGCAGGGGCATTTGCGGGCTGAACTCGATGCTTGCAGAGCGGGCTGGGACAATGCACGCACGCACGCACACACGCACACACGCGCGCGTGCATGTGTGCCTGGGGCAGCAGAGCTGCTCAGGAAAGGCTAGCCTTGCATTTGGAGGACAGAGCATCTGTGACATGAGTAACGAAAAGCATCATCAGTACAAAAGGGGATCCAGGAGACCAGATGCCTTCCCGTCTCGCTCGCTGTTTACACAGTGCAGCCCCACCGCCCCTCTCTGGGTCCTGGCTCTCGAAAGGCCTCGGGCAGGGCCTGCTTTCAGGCGGGCAGGCTGCAGGCTCCAGAGATTGCCTCTTTTTCTGGGGCTTGCCCTGGCAGTGAGAAAGCCATCTTGAATAACCTTGCTTGGTACTCAGATATACTCGGGCCTGGAGCGAGAACGACACCTTCACATGGTGTTCGCAGACCAAAAGTCAGTCCCTGGTAGCAGCAATACATTTCTTAACATGCAGCCGTTTCACCATAGTTTGCGCCACTCTTTGCTTCCTGCTGACAAACATGGTGGGAATGCAATGGAAAGACAGAAGAGCGCTCTCACAGCACATGGAACGAGAGGCAAGGCACGTACAATGGCCCCGAGGCCCGCGCAGCGCGCTCCCTTCCAGAGCCCCTGCTCCGCGAGGCCTCCGGAGAAGACACCCTTTTTGCAAAACTCCCTTTTATTTTATATTTTAGTATTTATTCACAGTTCAGCCTGTCCCATTAGCTGCAAGGCTCTCTCTCCTGGCAGTGCGGGGGCCTGGCTGAAGGGGGGGTGGGCTTTGGGCAACTCCGGTGGGCAGCAACGCATTCCTGATTACTGCCCTGCTAAGTATGCACCCTGTGGCACACCCTGAAATAAGCATTGCAGGGATCCTCTGCTTGGGGTGCAGATCATGCCCCGACCGGCAGAGAGAGACCATTGTGTCCTCTGGTGTGTCGCCCTTCTGTACCCTGGAGGTATTGGCTCATTTTGATGTTGGCCCTTGGTACAAACAGGGCATCATTTGATGGTTTGGCCTCTTTAGATGCAAGTGGAGAGTATTTTTAAAGAAGAACAAAAATATCAAATATATTATTATTTTAAGAAATTATAGTTCTAACAACACTTTAAGATGTGTGATTTTGTCAGTAGTTAACTTGGCACACCTGGATCCTTGGAAACAACTTTGAAATCCTATACAAAGTTGGAATCCCAGAACAATTAAGGCCGTGGAAAATGTTTCCCACTTTAGAGATTTGCTTTGGAATTCCTGTATGTAGTAGTTTCAGTGAGAAAACGGAGGTGTGAATGATCTGGCCACATCACTGGAGGATGTGAGCTGTAGAAAAGCAGATTTATATTACTTGTATCAAAATCAATCAGATCAATTTAAATCATGCCACTCTGCGTGGCAGCCTTTCAAGTACTTGCAGAGAGTGATCATCTCTTCCTTCGGTCTTCTCTTCTCCAGGTTAAATGCTCCCAGTTCTTCCAGTCCCTCCTCGGAGGACTTGGTTTCCGGTCCCTGGATCACCTTCCTTATTCTCCTTCGGACCTCTTCCAGTGGTCCTCCTCGCGATCTGGCCGCAAGGGCAGCTGCAGCCTTCCTCAACCTGCTGCCTTTATGACAACTCCAGACGTCACACTGTTCCTGATCATCGGCCATACCAGCTGCAACGGATGGAAATGGAAGCGCAGACGATCTCCAGAGAACTAGGACAGGGAGGCTGCCACAGAGAGAGAAACTGTGGGCCCAGCAGTGAAGTTGCCTGAAGCCACCAGGCTGCTGCAGAAAGAACATGGCCCCTGCCGGGAGAGGAAGCCCCCACCTCCTGGAGGAGTGGGGCCTTTCCTTTCGGCTGCGCCACATTTTCCTGGGAGCCCCATCTCCTTCCTCGTGAGGAACAAGGACACACGCCTCCCTCGGTGGCCCCTTCGCACCTGCTTCCAGCCCATTCCGGGGGAGCAGCTCTCCAGCGGGGCGAGACAGCCCGTCTCCAGCAAGTGGCGGGGCGAGAGGCTGCTGCTTGCAGCTCTCCCTCCTCACAAGGCCAGCTGCCCTCCGGGACGGCTGCCTGCAGAGTGAAGCCATGGGACGTGGGACGCGGGCGGCCCACGGAATGGCCCTGGTGCTCGACGCAGGGTGGGGATGGGCCGGGCCCGCAGCCCAAGCCCCACAAGCATAGTCCCCGCAGGCCCTGGGCGCGCGAGCCGCGGAGGCAGAGCAGAAATCTCCGTTCCGGTGGCCTAAGTAAGGGGGGGCCCAGCGGTGGTTCTGCAGATGCCGAAGGCGAGATCACACAGTCTCCTGCTTCCTGGCTGAAAGCACATCATTTCCAGGGCGAGGCGGCAGACTCCAGGGCGGCAGAGGGCAAAGCTCGCAGGTCCGCCAGTTTCCCAGCTGGCTCGGCAAGCAGTGAGCACGACGCTCGCCCGCTCTGCCCAATGGTTCGCTTCAGAGCCCTGCCCAGGGGCTGGAAGACTCTTCCGCAGGATCCATCAAAAACTGTCTGTGGCCCCAGCTGACGCTTTGTTGTCTCCCACACCGCCCTTTTCCAGGGAGGTCCCCCAGATAACTGGTCTTCCCCAGAGGAGTGTGTCCAGAAAGTTGATGTGCTCTCTGCAGCCCCAGAGCCTCCGACGGCCCCGAGGCACCTTCCTGCCCCTGGCAGGGCAGCTGGTTACCTGCCAAGCAGAATTCCTGGTGGTTCTGACAGACAAGAACTGAAATTCTTTATGAACTGAAATGCAGCAACATTACACCTGGAAATTCTTAACATGTATTTTGGGGGATTTTAAAAGGGTGTCCTTTAAATTAGAGGCCAGTGATGAAATTAGCTCTAAAATTAACTTGATTTCAAATGTCAAGTGCAATAGTTTTGATCCTGAAGCTTTCTAAAAAAAAAGCAAACAAATAATAGGCAGATTGACCTTGTCTCTGGAGGAGGAGGAGGAGGATACATATTTCTATCAAACTTGGAACTTCTTTTACTATTGGCTAGAGAAACAGGACTGTGCGCAGATTTGAATATGGACTGTTAAAAAGAGTGGGATGCTGCCCCAGCATGTCCGATGTCTTAAATGACAGATGTTTTTAATGTTTGTAGAAAAGAATAATAAAATGTATTTTAAAAAAGAAGCCAACAAATTAAAAGAATTCAGAATGGAAATCCATTTTGAATTCTGGGAGTTAGAAGCAAATGCGGGTAGAGACTGTACTGGCAAACAGCCGCGCCAGCTCCTCTGCATCAGCCCCCGGCCCACTGCCCAGGCTGCCATGGAGTCCTGCTCACAAAGAAACCGAGGTTTCCTCAGGATAGTATTTTTTACTTTTTGTTTTATAATTGTGTCTGGGGAGCAAATTGGCACATGAATAACTGAAAGCACGCTGGAGGTGCAAAAGGGCACGGTGGGTGGGGGGCAGCACTGAAGTCCGAAAAGCAGCCACTTTCTTTTCTTCTGTTCAGGGTTGCCAAAATGAAGACAGGCAGAAACAAAACAAAACAAAACAAAAAATACCGCTTAAAATTCCAGTGGCAAATCTTAGTTACTCTCAGAATATTAGTTGGGACAAAAATATTTAACAGCTCCAGTCAAGTTACACAAATACTGTTTGAAGTTTATCAGCTTCATTTTAGTAAAATACTCAAATTTTGACACACACAAAGCACAGTGGAACAGACGGAATATGTCCATTTGGCAACTGGTCAAACAGCCCCCCCCCCCCACATACTTTGAAGAAAAGAAATCCGCCAAGGTTTGATGTGATGCTAATGTAGAAAATGGGACATGCATGGTAGATACTAGGGTGACCATTCCTTCCGAGCGTTCTCGAGAAATCCTATGAGCGAGCGAGCAAGCAAGCGAGCGCTGTTGCAAGCCAAGCTGCGGGGGGGGGGGGGGGGGGGGGGGCTGGCTGGGCTTGCTGGGGGCTGCAAGTGGAGGTCTGTCTGCCATTCCCTGCTGGCGCACGCCGCCCCTTCCCCATCTTTGCTTCCTCATACTCAGACACCTTTTCAGTTGGCACAGGGGTCTTGTTCAAGCTGAAGGGAATGCGGGGTGCGGGGCTGACTTCCTCCCCAGGCTAAATCTTGGAGGAATTTTAAGAGGGACTAGGTGCGCCTTGCTAAGTTGGGCAGAAATCCCTGGGGGTGGGGGATGAGGGGAGTGGCTCTCTGACCCCCATGAGCGACTGCCGAAACCTTGGCCAGGGGCCGGAAGGGCCGTTCAGCCGCTCTGCGCAGCTGGGCCCTGCGGGCA